AGGAAGAAGCGCCCTCGGCACCAGCCGGCCCTGCAGGAGCCGCGGCCGGGACAGGCGCGGCTCCCTCGTCTAGTGGCGAGGCAGGTGCCGAAGAAGGTGCCAGCGGGGCCGCTGCTCCGTCGAGCACAGACAAGCGGCGACCCGCGGAGCCGGAGGGACCGCCGCCGCCCAAGAAGCGATTCACAACATGGCAGGATACCATGGAGTCGCCGGCTCCCCAACACCGAGTTTCGGGGGTTTACGGACTCTCGAACGAGGTTCCCGGGGCCGATTGGCGCGACGTGGACTGGGATGCGACTCCACCGCCGGGGCCTGGAAGGCCCGGCGCCCGCGACGTGGATCCCAGGCTCACGGTCCCCCTTGATCTCCAACATGATGAACAGATCAGGGAATTCTTCCGAGGCGGTGGTGAGCATACGCTCGAGCAGCTCCTCGCGTTGGCGCGGCGCCGGAGGCGCGCGTTCGTCTACCAGGCTGCGATTTTGTCGAACAGGCCAGTGTTTGAAATCTGGCCCGATTACGATGAAAACGAGCTTGGACCGACACCCGAGCGCGTTCCGCTCCTCACAGGCAAGGTCTGGCCTTGGGGCTGGTGGGATTGCTTTACTTGTGGGCGTGCGAACCCACCAGAACGCAATACCTGCCGGCACCATGATTCCGAGGAGCTCGGAGGTGCCCCCTGTGTGGGGATCTTCGAGGACAGCCTGTACTGGAGCACGCCGGTGGACCTGCGAACGGCGCCGGCGTGGTTCATCGAGGTCTGGCTCGATGAACATAAGGAACGCATAAAGGAGTACCTTTATGCGAAGCGTTCGGACGCGATCGCCGCCGCAATGTCCAACGCCTACTGGACCTGTGGGCGGGACACATGCCAAGAGAGGAACATGTTATGGCGCAAACTGTGCTTTAAGTGCAGTGGCCCTAAGTCGGGCGCGTCGTTCATAACCCACGGCATGCCGCCCCAGGAAGGCGACGATGAAGCTGCTTCTTCGTCGGAAGAGAGCGAGGGCACGAAGATGGAACGGATCGAGCGTTCCATCAACGCCGATCCCCTTGCGGAGCATGCGAGGAAATTCCTCCGCTCCGGACGGAAGAGGCTCCGCGCTGAAAAGCGCAGGCAGGCAGAGCTCTCTCAAGACTCTGCCCGAGCCTGGTGGAGCCAACCTTCCTCCGGGCGCGGTGCACCCAGTGGGGGCCGCAGCTCTGGCAGCAAGGGTGGTGGCAAAGGTGGTGGAAGGGGAAGCTCGAACCGCTACGGCAACCGAGGATGGTGGGCCGGAGGTGCTGCCGGACTGGCATACTCCTCCCGACTCGGCGAGCGTGCTGGGCAGCCCGCCCTCACGCTCCCACTGCGTGGCCCGGGTGGCCACAGAGTGGCGCCCGAGGCCCCTGCCGTTTCTTCTCGCCCCGCTGTCTCTTCCGGGCCCTCGAACCGTGGTGGGTTCCTTGGGGCCGTGCGCTCGATAGGCGCTGCGGTCTCCAGCTGGGCTCTCTCCAGGAGAGCGCGCAATCGCGCAGCCCACGCCACAACGGGCAACATTGGATGGAAGATGGGTTTGGTGGCCGCTGCGCTGGCGCCTACCCTCTTCACTGTTGAGCGCGGTGCCAGAGAGGTGGCACACGTGAGCCTCACTGCAGTTGCCACTGCGGCGGAGGACCTCATCGAGGAATCCTCTGGTATCCTCGTTCGGGGTGTCCGCGTGGTTGGCTTGACGGCCGTCGTCCTACTGTGGACGTTCGCGGCCGTAGTGCTGTGGTGGGCCGGACGTGTCGCCACTAACCGGCTAATGCACGCCATGAACGGTAACCCCTTTGGGAATGCTGTTCTGGTGTCGCTCGAAGGCCGGGAGGCCGTCTTTGAAGTAGCCTCGAAGACTAAGGCCGGCGCACACAGAGTCCTGGTGAAGATCGGGTCGGGCGCGGATGGCGCAGGCTGCGACTGCAAGGCATTCCTCAACGAGGGACGTTGCTGTCACATAGAACGCGCTGTTGAAGCTGCGGGGCAACTCGTGGCCGTGACAGGCGCGAGCGCTGCCCCAACGCTGTCCGTTGCCCCGGCCGCGACTAGACGGGCCCGTGCAATCCTCGGCCCGCCAGCCCTGGAACAGGGGTGCCTTTCCGGCATGGTGTCGAAGGCGAGGTCGCTCTCGGAAAGAGCCCGGAATGTCGGCAACCCGTCTGAGGGCTGCCTTGACGGCATTACCAGGCTCAGAGGCCGCCAGGAGGTGGCCACAGTGTCGGCGCCTCCGACAGAGACTGTCCCGAAGACGCCTGCAGTAGAGGCTCCCCGCCAAAGTACCTCTGCAGCGTCTCCGGCCCTGACAGCTCCCATGTCGAGCCAGGCACGCCGTGTCAGAGACTTCCCGATCCCTGACGGCTTCGAGCGAGCCGGGGTCAAGTTTCTGACCCTTCCGGAGTATCACGCTGTGGTACAAATGATGCTATCGGACGCTGGGCATGGGGACCACGTTTACGTGCGGGCCTACAGCTTCGATAGCAAGCCTTTGGTTGGAGCCCTCGTGTCCTCGCTGGAGCGAGGCGCCCGAGCCCACGTGCTTGCCGACAACTCGCAGACGAGCCGGACCAAGCTCCAGCTGCAGTCCCTCAAGGAGCTAGGGGCGGCTGGCGTCCAGGTCCGGGTCGGCAAGGGCACCTCGGTCAAGGCGGCTTACGCCGCCGAGAACCGCACGGACGTGAGCATCGGCGCAGGCCTCGCGGGCATCCACCACGCCAAGACGGTGCTCGTGACGAGGCCGGACTCCACAGTTAGCGCCGTGATAGGAAGCCTAAACTTTAGTGCTAGTTCACGGGCCAACGCGGAGGTCGGCATCGCGGTCGCCAGTTTGCTGACCTCTGAATTTAGCCAAAAGTGGCTAGATTCGTTTGGCACCGAGTGGTCCAAGGCGCTGAAGCTCGAGGAGTTCGAAGCACCTCAGCGGAACCACCGCGGGCTGGCAAAACCCTCAAATGTCCAGCAGCCCGCCGCGCAACCCAACGTGGAGCCGCAGTGACCGTGGACTAGAAGTCGCGGACTGCGCTCCGCCCTTCTAGCCACCTGTGGCAACTTCAGTTTTGGTCGCAGCACCTAGCTGCTTTCCGATGAGACGACAGGGGGGCGTATCCGCTCTACAGGTCTTTGACGGGAGCGGCTAGGGAGGCACGGTAGTGCTCCCGAAGCGCGTGGAGTAACGCCGCAGCTTCAGCTGCTCGTTTCACCAGCCCTGTGGCCGCAGTGCGGCGCAGGCTGTGTACAGTAGGAAACCAGAGCCTCGTGCCGCACAGGCCGTGAAAAACGAAGGTCTTGTGCTGAGTGCGAAGGGTTTGTAGGAGGGCAGGGTCTGTAGGTCAGTTTTACGGCCTCCGGCCGCCCGCGGAATCCTACGGCTCTATCGTGCTCTCGGCTGAGGGGCGAATGTCACTGTACATAGTCTGCGGGCTGGCTGTTGTGCTGTATGCTTTTATGCATGCTCTTCTGTAATTCGTATTCATACCATTTTTGGCTCAAGTGAGCACGGCAGTGTGTCGTTGGTAGCTTCTCGTTGCCGCGACGCAATTGCGCGCAGCCCGTCCTGGGCGGACGTTCGACCTGTCACGGTCGTTGGACTTTCTGCTTGGACGGAAAACGAGGGTGCGTGCTGCCCCTTTGGGTTTCCGTTCCCCACATGCTGCCGCTACTACTACTACTACTACTACTACTACTACTACTACTACTACTACTACTACTACTACTACTACTACTACTACTACTACTACTACTACTCCTACTACTAGTACTACTACTACTACTACTACTACTACTACTACTACTACTACTACTACTACTACTACTACTACTACTACTTCTTCTACGCCTACTGCTACTGTTTTTTGCTTCCTTCCTTCCTTCCAATCGCGGCGAACGTCCAAGGGTCCACCTAGCGGGTCGGCGAGCTTGGCCCGGCTACCGAAGCAGCGATGTCTGAGACACCCCATCGAAAACTTCAATGTGCCAGCATCGATCCTAGGATCCGAGCATGCTGGGCAACTCGAGTCGTAACTCTGCAGTCACACAATGAAGCTAAGTCCGCCATTGGCGGGCGATAACATTAACAGCAGCTGCAAAATGCAATCGTTTGGTCAAGAAAGAGTAATGAGATCAAAGCGTCAAGGCATATGCCAAGAGCCATAGATGGTCTATACATCGAAATATCGGCATCCATGCACAGCCTACTCCTAAGTCAAAAGCCCTCACCCCAGACAGTAGCAAGCATCAGTCAAGGATTGAGAAGAAGCCAGCATGACCTCAGTACCATACCGCAGCACCCAATCAGAACTGTGAGCAATCGCAACGGAGCCCATGGCGAAAGCACGGACGCTTCCCTGCTGCATGCAGTTGAAGTCGGAAGCATGGCACTGCACACGTTACGGCTGCTGCTCCAATGGAAGCCCCTGCATCTGAAGATACTGCACTGCCTCTGGCTTCAAGTTGCGATACTGACCGCGAAGTGGTGCAAAAGCATGATGCACGCGCGCGCATCATAAAACCGGGCTCACGGAGCCACACAGATGATCACGGCTAAGGGCCTGTTGTCCGCCTGTAAAGCACAAGTGCCGCGCTCAGACCATGTGTAATGCCACACGCAGCGCCACGCCTCAGCACAGCCACACACCAGATCATCAAGCACACACCGCATGCTGCATTGAGCACTGCACCACTGGAGTCCCACAGGACTCCGTTACCTGGGGTCAGCATGGCACGCACTGCAGGCTACCGGCCCACATCTACCACGTCTCCAGGATCAGAGTTTTGCGCCTCACTTCTCTGAAGATGGCTGGGATAATGCAAGTTGCAAAAATCGGACTGCACCGACCAACGCATGCGTCTAAAGACAAAAATTGCCCCGTAGCTGACTACCGAGCGGGCAAAGACTGCGCGATGACTATTGCAACGCAGGCAGAAACAACCGGATCTAAGTGGCACGATGGTCTTCCCTGCACGACCAACGAAAGCAGATCAGCTTTCAGCTGCTCTTCGGCAGCGAGGCAGCCACTGAATTCGCCAATGTGGATCTCGTCTGCCTGTCCTCTCGGAGCTGCGTGGCAACCAGCTGCAATGATGCATTGTAGCATAAGGCCTTGAGGCTACTCCGGAGACCAGCAGCTGCATCACCTTGTATTCCCACCTGGATCAAGAAAACTAGAGAGTCACCCCTCATGTCCTCCGCCATGGGCCGGGTAGGATGAAAACGTGCCAAACTATTCGAGGATACAACGTTCTTCAGGAGGATTTGCAGGTGCTCTAGGATCTCACTTTGCGTGAGCGGGGGCTTGGACGTGTCCACAATGTTCGATTGGCTTGCGGCATCCCACTTCAGGAAATGCCACACAAAAGGGGGGCCTTTGGCTAGCCATCCAAGGTCGGTAAGCTTGGCAACATCCTCGTCTTTGCTCTCAAGCGCGCGCAGTCTTGCCTGCAGCTCAGCAAAGAAGCAAACGAACAGAGAGGCCCGCATAGGTCTGTCGAGCTTCTGCGGCTCCGTAGTCTTTAACTTTCGCCATCCATCCGCAGCCACGCACATACAACATCGGCACCACCCCTGACGGAATGTTCAGCTTCATGTGTGCCACAAAACTGAACTCCACGCGAAGCATGTTGACCGCATCCTCATGTCTGAGAACTAATCGTTGCACCATCTCAAGGTTCTCGCGGAGGGCTTTGATCTCCTTGGCAGTGTCACCACCCTCATCTGAGCCACCGTGCCATGCATTGCTCCAATCACGTCCCCATCCTTGCTGACGCTTGATGCCTTGCTGGGGGTCACGTCTCTGATCCCCATCCTTGGCTCCCTTGCCACGGTTACCTTTTGCATCACCAAAACGCGGAGCCTTCGGTTCCCGCTCGGCAGCCGTAGAGACGTCCGAAGGCGTCGCCGACAATGCCACCCCGGCCGGCATATACTGATTGAAGAAGGACCACTCCTCCGCACCCTCCATGTGTGAGTCGATGAAGGCCATGCTGCAAAGGAGGTCGGTCCTGCCAGTCCGCAGTGGGCAATCAAGCGTCAGGCCAGGAGGACCTAGTGCATCAACAGTGGCTGGTCTACCGTCAGTTGAGCCGGCACCAACCACACAAGGTACATCAGGGATTCACGTGTTGAATCCCACAGAACAGGCACTGCAGCCACACGATCATCCGTGTGTTGCCATCCACCGGGAGTTTTGAGGACGGCACGATAATGGCCCGCCTGGACTTCCGGTCCATGATGCTCCACAACGGAGCGCACCTGGAACTCGCGCCACGCAATCCGCACTCCCTGCACAAAGAACGGCAGCCAGACCGTCCTCGCAATGGCGACCCTAGCCTCGTTCTTGATCTCGTTGGCATTACGCTCGATGTGCAATGCTATTGCTCCAACCTGTGTCGTAAGAGCATGCACCTGAGCCTGTGAGCACCACCTTTGCACTAGCTGCTGCAATGTGCAATCCTCCTCGGGCATGGGGATGGCAATCGGGCAGCCGCCTTCATGAAATGTGTGAACCCCACGGAGATCCTCCCATCTAGCGGCCCATACACTATGCCCAAGACCCAGACCTGTCAGGAGCACGTTGGTGAACTCTGCTGCGTCATGTTGTCTGCAATCAAACGTCCAGTTTCGAAGTACAGAACGCACAATCAGCTGCGACGACAGCAACAAGGAACGATTTGCACATACCGCTCCTTGACATAGGGCCACAAGTCCCCCTAGTGCACGACAAGGGTGCGGATCGACCTGCAGAGCATGCATCAGGGCAATGACCGAGGCATTCATATAGCAGAAGTTGTGAGGGTTGTCAAGCACCAGACAGGTGAGCCACTGTGGCGGGAGCTGCTGGTGTATACCTGCTGGTGGCGCAAGCGCAGTAGGCGCAAGAGAACCCGTTGAAGGCGCTGCGTCACGGAGCGCACACCGGTGCGCCACGGCTGAGGTGGTAGTTCCTGCAGCATCGGCCCGAAGAAACTTCCCGATTGGCGTGCGGGTCACATCAAACTGCTGATAGTCCGGAGCTCTCTGCGACTGCTTGAGGGCGGGGCCACGGCTAGGGGCAACCTCTGTGTGTCCCTGGCATCGAAGCTGCTTGACTGCCACAAGCTGAAACAGGGATGGGCATTTACCAGAGTGATCCTTTCGGTCCCTGGCCTTGCTTCCACAGTATGTGCACGGAGTGGAGAATGTAGCACATAAGGCCCTAGACTCGGCATGCGCTAGCTGGCTGATCGCTTTCCACTCCACGGCATGGGTGCGCTGCCAGTGTATCTTGATCTTGGAGCTGTCCGGAATGAGCTGCCTGCACAGAGCACGTCGAGTAGCCAGAATGCGAAGCTGTTGGCCATGGGTGCCCAACTGAGTCAGCTGGACTTGTAGAGCCCGATCCACATCATCCACGACCTGGGCATCGGAGAGTGCGCCCTCAGGAGGCTTTGGAGGGTTACACGCCTCTTCCTCCGCAATGGTTTGCAGCATTCTCTCCTCCGTGTACTGCTGTGCAACAAACTGTTTGATCCTGGGGCAGGTGCCTTCCGTAATGTGCTTCTCGAGGGATCTCCAGTCATGTAGACGAACCTGACAAAATCGACACACTGGCAGACCATGTAGGGCGTGCTGGTCCCGTCTGAACCGGAGCCGAGCTTGCCTGTTGATCTCGGCATGCTTTTGCTGCATGTGCATTTGCAAGCTCGCCTGCGACGGATACGAAATCCCACACACTGGGCAGTCAACCACCACTGCCTCTGCTCTGGGAATCCTGCGCAATGTCGTGGAAGTAGGTGTGAGTTCCAGTTCCTGTAGCGCTTGCAAAAGGACCCGTGCCTGGACACTCTCCCTGGCTTTCAAGGCCTCCGCCCTGCCACGATCACGCTGGATGGAGTCATATTTGGACTGAGCCTGGGAGCGAAACACCATGAGCGGATCAACGCCTGCTCTCCGCAGCACCTCCTGATTGCTCACGCCCTCCTCGTAGATCCGAAGAACCTTGCGCATGTGCCCCGATACCAAAGAGCAGACTCCCCGTAGAACTTCCGACGATATCCCAATGCTTGGGAGAGCATATGCCAAGATGGGCCAAATGATTGCGTTGTACAGACGAACTCGGTGCCTCAGTGCCAGAGCCCCGTTCGTCCGTAGTACCCGATGAAGTTCCTGAAAACGGCGCTGGGCTTGCTCAGAGCGCTTCTGAAAGGTTTGGAGCTCGTAGTTGCTGTAGGACAGCTGAGCACCAAGATAAGGGAGCATGGACGCACAAGGAATGTACACATCAAGACTCTGGCATCGTATGCGCAAGTGCTGCATTCCCTGCCGCCACACAAGCACATGTTTGCATGCCTGTGAGACCGCCTTCCCGCAAACCCGAATCACCACAACCGACTTCTGGAAACTAACCGCCATCCCCAGTTCATGCAGAATCTCAATCAGAGCCCTCAGGGAGTCTATGGCAGCCTTTAAGTCACTGACTGAGTGCAGGGTCCAATGCGCAAATATGTCATCGGCAAAAAGCGTGCCATGCCGCTGTGACCACCCGGAGCCCAAGGATTGATCAATGAGACGACAAAGGCGACCCGTCCACGCAGCGAAAATGACCGGGGCAATGGGACACCCTTGTCGAAGCCCCCGAGACATGCGCACCGTGCGCTCATCACCCCCATGTCGGATTCTGCACACAGACTGAATATGAACCTGAACAATAGCATCCGCAAGCGCCCTAGGCATACCCGTCTCTAACAGTGCAAGACTTATTTCTGTATGTGGAAGTGCATCAAAAGCTTTGCGCAAATCCAGCCCACACATTAAGCCTCCCACCAAGGGTACGTTTGCCTGGCCCAGCACTTTGGTGGTATGATCTGTTCGATGCCTGAGCAGCAGCCGCCGAACTTCACTGCAATGAGCTGAGGCACGCAGCAGCGCGTCAGCGGTGGAGACACCCCGCCGATAGGCATACTGAGGAATCGGCATCAGCTGAGTTGCAATGTACGGCGCGGCAGCATTTCTGAGCACGATCAGAAAGGCTTTGGTATCCGCCGGCATGAGTCCTACCGTCCTAAGGTTTTCAGGGGTGGAAGGGGTCTTACCCGCCTTGGCCAACCATGCAAGCTGCATGTCAGACCAGTCCATCGGCACCGCAGGACGAGCGCTGCAAAGAGCCTCTGATGCGATGACGCTGAGTTGCATCGCCACTTCTTTCCGTTGCTCACGCCAGGCCTGTATGGAGGGCTCGGATGCTGGAACCGCCTTGCCAGTTTTGAGACACCCCAGTGCACGGACCCACTGAGCCGGAGCAAAGATTTCTGGGTCGAGGGGTTGTAATTGAACCTGGGGCCTATCGGTGGTCTTCTGTGCCTTAAAGAGGCTGCCTGCATAGTCCGAAAGAAGTTTGCACTCGGCCTTTGGATGCATCAGCTGGCCCTCCGTAGTTCTCAATCTAACAGATTTGCTAACGGATTTGGGAGCCAGCCACCTCACGCAGCGATACAAATCACGACAGCTACCAGTCTGCGCAGCTTGCTCAGCCAAGTCAAGGGTGTCGAGTAGTTGCTTACGCTTGCGCGCACGCGCAATTGCCTGCAGCTCCTTGTGACGTTTGCGAAGCTCAAGCAGCATACGTAATCTTGCGAAAGCTTTGCGCAAGGTAAAGCGCTCCCTGCGCATCAGCAGCCTACGAGCCTCCCAAAAACGCAAGATCTCCCCGTCCATGCCCTCAATGCCCGGTCGTTGCACTGTGACCCTGGGCCGTGTCTCCAGACTGCCTACCTGACCCCGAAGCCTGGCAATCTCAGACCCACAACCAGGCTTGTATTTACAACCACCAGACTTATTTAGAGCACTCCGTCGCCAAGGCTGCCACCTGAGTGGGATCGATGCTAGAAGCATTTGGTGGCCCGAAGAGCGCCATCCAGCCATCGGCGGGTCAGCTGGACAACACTGTTTGGCACTTTGATCGGCAAGCGACGACCGCACCAACACGAAGTCGATTTGGGATGTTCCACTGGGATGCTTGTACGTGGGCAGCTTTCTAGACCACGTGTTCAGGGCAATCAGTTGATGCGAAGCAATGAGACCTGACAGCCATTTGCGCTCTTCAATTACCACAGGTTTGGCAGCGTTATGCAGAACACTGGGGCCTACGCTCTGCGGAGTCTCGCACAGGTTAGAGTTCAGGTCTCCAGCCAGAACAATGGAGGAACGAATGGGGAAAGACTCCAACAAAGCATCTAATTTATTCCACAGCTTACGACGCTTATCCATCACAGTGCTAAGAGCCTCCGTCTCGAATGGCAGCGCATGCTGGTACATGCACACGAAGTCTAGATGCTGTGATTGCGCAAAGCACCGAGCATGCAAGAGTCTGCCCGGCTGAAGCTCTTGCCACCGCAGTGAGTCTCTGTCACAAAATCCGTCCCTGAACCCAAGAAGCACCCCACCCTTGCCTTCGGAGCAGCACTATGGACAAAAGTCCATCCCTCAGCCATCCACTCATTATGATAAGCCCTGTGGGTTTCCTGGAGGCACACGACCATGATCTCTGGATGCCGCTTGAGGTACAGCTT